CACACAAACCAAGAGATTCCCTGGTCCCTATGCAAGTCAGTCCACGCTTTTCCCCTAAGACGTTTGTTGTGCTTCCTTTGCAGATGCAGCTTCTGGACAAGTTCCCTATTGAAGGAGGCCAGAAAGACCCCAAGCAAAGAATCATTCCTTTTCTACCAGGTAATGCTGTGGGGAAAGCCCTAAATAAGATGGGTAGAAGCAGATGGAAACTGCAGATCCTCAGCTACTGTCTCTAGTACTTTTCATGACCACCCTTATAAATGCCTTTTCCCTGGGAGCTCATACATCCAGCCTTGTGATACCAGACCTTGACCTCCTTCCAAAATAACTGGCATGGTGTTTAGGGCTCCTAAGGGATCTTGCATCAGCTGTTTGGGTTTGGGTTGGTTTGTGCCCTGGCACACAAAGGGATTTGATGGCTTCTGTGGGGCTGCAACAAGGCAGCCTGATCTCAGGCCACCAGTTGGAAGGCCACTGGAGACCAGAGTTAGTCTTTGTCTTTTCTGGATGTTGTGACTCTGCAGACACTGTTACCGTGTAGTAAGGAATGAATAATTAGAGTTGCCACTGGGATATAAAAGGAAACTGAAGGAAGGTTAAATGCAAATAGGGATTTCAGCAATGCTAGCCAAAAATATTATTGCTTATCTTTCTGGCCTGAGACCCCTGTCCTTCTGACAGCTTTCAGAGAGGACCTGGACGTGCTGGATAGTCTGTGTTCAGGGTAACAGCACACACTCCTACACAGCTTCTTCCAGCAGTGGCTGCAGAGATGACACGGGGGAGATGAGCCAGACCACGTTGTGCTCTTGGAAGTGCATGCTCTGGCCAGCTCTCTATTGTCTGACTGCACGATTCTGGCTGTTGGTTTAAAGCTTGGCTCACTGCACTGCCTGCCAGGATAAACCGAGTATTTTCAGCCTGTTAAAAGGTCTGTTCTGCCTTTAGCTATAAAAAGGAGATCCCAGCTCTTCCCTTAAGGCATGTGAAGAGAAGCTGGGATGGGAGGGTTTAGTCCTCTCCAGGAGCATGCTGCAGTCCCCAATGCTGTTTCCAGTCAAAGCAGCTGCTCCAGATGTGTGGTTAGCACAGCTCCAGGGCTAACGGGGAAGCAGGGACTTGGAAATCAGCAGTGTGAATACGTGACGCAAGCTTTGGAGCCGCAGTAGGGCAGCACAGCCACCTGGCAGGCTCCATGGACCTTCTGGAAGGCAGTCCCCGGATCAGGGTTTGCTCTCTGCAGTGATCTGTGGTGCAGCCAGACCCTCTGCAGCCAGGGGAAAGTGATGCTGCCCTTCATTTCCAATCTGGGATGAGGAGCGGAGTCCAAGACTGGGCTCTCTTTCCAGCTCTGTTGCCAGCTCATAGACTAGTCACTTTGTGAAACCTCTATGTAATAAGAATAGATACTGCTGGCCTTTCTTGCTGGAAAGCATTTTGTGATCCTTGAAAGCACTGTGCAGGAGTGCAGATGGCTTCACATGAGATACTGTAGAAAAATAACTGCAGGTAGCAGTTTTCTTCCTGTATGGACTGTCAATGGCCCGTTTTTTTTATTTTCTCCTAGAAGAATGTTGGCTGACTGCAGGTGACTTCTGCTCAGTCTTTGTGCAGATCTTAGTGATGGATGCCATGATACATGGGTGCATATTTGTGGAGGATAAGATAAACCCCATATGTCCATTACAACGCTTCATACCCTTCCCACCCTCCAGGAACATGAGGCACATGGCACTGCCACATGTCCTTGAGGGGAAAAGTTATATCTGGAAAACATTTGGGTTGACTTAGTGTCCCAAAGAGAGAAGCTGCCAAAACAGAATAGACCTCAGCTGTATTTAATTTAAAATTTCTGTGATATACGTTCTACTTTTGATATCGAATCTCTGCCTCTGTCTTGTTGATCTGGTGAACAGCCCTTGTTGCTTTACCCGGGAACAAGGTGACTCAGCTAAATGTCAAACAATGTCAAACTCCGTTAAATAAACTAGCTGCCATAATTAGAATATGCATGGCATTTCTGCAGCTGGAGCCGTGGATTACGGAAACGAATACCTAGCTATAAACTCCCTTAATTAAAAAATGGCAGGGCAGATGTTTGTACTTAAATCCTACTTTATGAAGATGTTGCTTATGAAGATCTTGCTTGCTTATTATGGGCCTGATTCAGCCAAGCTTGATGGGTCTGGGTGCTGGGTTCTATGTGCCTGGGTTTGCCCATGCCACCTGCAGCCTAGGACAAACTCCCTCCCATCAGGTCTGCTTGAGGAAGGTGACATATGCCAACCCATGGCTCCCACTTGTCAGCAATGTCTTGGTGCTGTCCTGAAATAATAATTAGTATTTTACTGTGCTAGAAGCCTTTTTTTACCTGTGAAACCAAGGCCGGTGTAATGGAGTTCAGAGCCTTGCCCCACAAGGAGAGATCATACTGGGTTCAACAGCAGGAAAGTGCAGCTTTTTGTTCATCTAACACCTTTATCTTATTTTTATCGATTTCTTTCTTCATATATATTTGCCCTCACTTCCCTCTTACACAAGTAAGGACTCTCCACCTTTCAGTGCAAGGAAACAGTAAGCAGTGCCAGGTAGTCCTGTAAAAGATGTTCTGTGGACAATTTTGTGGTTTCGTTTTACTTTTTCAGGGTCAGTTTCCTGCCTTCAATTTCTCTGTAACTTTTGTTAAACCATATTGAGAGATCAAAACGGATATTTGTCATCTCTTTCATTTTATCTTCTTGTGAGTTTTTTTCCTTCTCTCTGATTTCCCTTTTACTGTTGGAAAAGTTTGTATCAGGGGGAGGTTGGGCAGAAGAAAGCCACATAAGAAACTCTGTGGAGTGGTCAGAGAGCATTTTTGTAGTTGATGGTATGAATTTTTTTGAGGGAGACTGTGGAAGAATTTGAATAAAATTTACTGCAGAAACCCCTTTCTAGACCGAAGAGAACTTGTAGCTGTAAGAAGACACAGATGGAAAGTGCTGTTTGGCTATACCAATGTGTCTGATTTCTCCATCATCTCTCCTGCTGAGTATCTGAAGAGCAGTCTTTGGAGTGTAGACATGAAGTTTTGCTGCCTCCCTTTCAGAGACTTCTATATTTGCATCAACAGAGAGAAGAGGTTACGAACTTGGGCTCCCTATTTCAGGGGTCTTGAGGTAATTGATAAAGGAATTTCAGCTGGAAGGAGAAGTGTCTGCTGAGCTTCTGGAGAGCACAGTGGCAAACCAAATGGCAGAGACAGGGCGATGCAACCCTGGGATTAACAGTTTTGCAGTGGTTCACCCAAGGCTCCAGGGCTTGCATTGTTTTTCATTCCTCTTGGCGCTAAGTGGGAGAGCCATCTGGAGACAAAGCTGAACTTGGAGGGGTCTCAGCAATTCTTGCTCCACTGTGTCTTCCAAAGTGCAGCCCTGGGGAAAACACACTGCATGGCATGAAATCATCATGGCGTGCTGACTGCTGGGCTGCAGATCCTTGCTGTGGGGAGAGGCTTGGGCTTTCCATGGCGTGGAGGGCTGGGCATTGATGATAGCAGCCCCTTGAACTTCCTACCCAGATTCTAGCTTGATCACTGGCTGTACTTCAAACCAGTTTTGACCCCCACTGATAAACCAAGAGGTTTTCTCATAGGCTGTGCTGGAAGAGGAAAATCCTCGCTGAGTGCCTACCCTGCAACTTCTCTGCTGCCTGGAGAGGGAGACATCCCACTCGAGGAGATTTCTTTGTTTGCCTGGTTTTCTGTACCCTTGAGAAGCTGAGTCCTATCCCAGTAGACCAGGGGGTTGGTGTAGGCTGCCCTACCAGCTTCGTCTGGTAGCTCCAGGAGCAACACTCTAGCCTGGCTCCAGTCCTTGTCTCCAGCACTTGGGAGCATCTGCCAGAGGAGCACCTTCTCTCTTCCTTTCTTTCCCACTCAGATTTTCCTCCTCCCTTGATTAGGGCAAGGAAAGAGGAAATCATCCATTTTGGGGCAGGTGCTGCCAGGGCACTGGGAGGGATGCCAGCAAGGTGGATGAGATTGTTATCCAGCCACTGTTTGGTTTTCCCCTGAGAAGGGAAATGCTCTGGCAGCATCTCAGAGGGATCTCTGGGCCTTGCTCCTTCCTTGGCCACAAGGCAATGGGAACACACAGTGTGTCTGCTGAGATGTTTAAAGGACAGGCAGCAAATAGAGCGTGGCAGGGAGATCCCTGCAGGTAGTGTGGGTTCGGCCCCATTATTTGCTCCAGAGCCGTGGCACGTGGCTCCTGCCAGCGACAGTGGGTGGGAGTGGGGTTTGCTGGTCCCCACCGGGAAGACTTTGCCCGAGAACTTAATCTCTGGGCAAAGCTCCCAGTTTCCCAGAAAGCCCCAGTCTCTCTCAGCCTGAAGTTTGCTGGGGGCTGTTCCTCCAGCAAAGTAGGAGGCCAGGTGCCATGTGTGAGTCAGGAGGCTGCGGGAAGGGAGAGGTTGAGCTGGAGAGGGTGCGGGCGGCTGTGCCAGCACCGCCCAGATACCTGGGGCTGCTGAGGGAGTGCTGGCAGCACGCAGGAGCCTCCCCATTTTGCACAATGCAGGAGGATGGGGAATAACCTCTCGCCAGTGCCGGCTGGGACCTTCCTCGCCTCCGTTTCTGCCGCTCGCGGGCTGCAGTGGGGAAGGAGATCTGCCGATGAACTGCATCCCAGGTGCTTCTGTTTGCTTTTCGGTTTCGATTTGGTGTGTTGAGTTGGGTTTTTTCCCCTCCCCTTTCCAATGCTGTCTTTGGGCAAGAGGAAGCTGAGGAGAAAGGTTTCAGTGGGTTTGCAATGACAGGATTTTGTCCATGGTGATGAAAGCAAGTTTTCCCCCCCTCTGTTGCATATATTCCAGCTTTGCTCCTTTTGTTTTGCTCTGGGCTGGAGGAGAGACAGTGTTTTGTTCAGAGATCATGTGCTGAAATGGAGATGATGGGTTCTATCCTAATAGCAGTGACCTTCAGATCTAGCCATTCATGTTCTATTTGTGCAAATCAAGACCAGGATCAATAAAGTTAGGATGTGGCCATGTGTAATCTTGTCAAAGGTGCTGCATTTCAGTGGTGGTCAATGCATGCAAAGTGCTTTGGACATTTATTCTGCCCACTGTGGGAGGCAGGGGGACTGTGACTCTAGGGTGCCACTGGCCAAGGAGGACCC